AAGTCTGGCATCGTAACCTATTGGGTTAGCTCCTATCACGATAGTGATAGGAGTAGCTCTTCTATATGAAGAGCTTGCCCAGTCACTTTACCCCCTATGTCGTCGCCTTGCAGGCCCTGCCTGCCTGTGGCCTTGCTGTTGTGCCTGTTTGAGGCTTTGCAGGCCTTGCTTGCTGGCCCTGCCCCACCGATTGACCGCGAGTATCAACCGCGGCAATCTCCAGCCCTTAACAGAGCACGCTGCTAGGTCTCTCGGCCACCATCGTGGTTTTAGCCCCCGAACAGCGGTCCCTAGTAGCCTTGTAGGCTCTGAATCGCGCAGCTTAACAGCCGCGCGTCTTTATTTTACTGGGATAAGCTCAAGTTCAATATCCTCAATGACCGCGCCTCCCTCTTTTTAGCTGACTTAGGTCCTGAATCGCGCGACTGCTAAGCTAGGTCTAACTTTGGCAATCCCATGCCCGCATGCTTTTGCGCCCTCAACAAAAGCAAAGCACTGCCAGTGACTTCGCATTTGTGGCGTCCGAACCAAAACTTGAAAACTTTTAGTCTCTCAGTCATAGGTCGGGTCTAAATGAACTTTTGGCAAACGTTAGATTCATCAAGTCCTTTAATTCAACGAAAGAGTCGAACAACGTCCGACGTTTAAAATCCTCGGCAAATACCCCATTGAGCGACGTCCCTGTCGTTCACCATCAAAACTAGAACTCTCATAAAATGTCTCTGAGACCAAAATTTACAATACTCAACAACTCAAACATTCATTCGGAATCAAACTGGAGTTTTCCATCAATGAAACAAAATTCCACTCAACAGTTTTTGTCACTTTGAAAACGCTTCGACTAAATCCGAAACGGAATTCATTCAGTCGATACCTACGCTGTACATGAGTAAGACTCAAGTGAGTTAGGAATACCCCCTGACAGGTTTTCTAAATATATCAACTTCCTGAAGTTGTTCAAACAAAGTTTGAATGACCCAAAAATTATATATCTTACTCAATATCACATCTTAACTAAGTAATAATTCATGTCGCAACCTTTTTTTTTCCATATAGGTCCTTGAAGAGCACACTTGATTAAAACAAGTCTCCCTGTCGCAAGCAAACTCTTTCAAAAGACAGAGGAGAACATTGATCAGGACAGATTTCACTGTCGCAGACGAACTGGTTTATTTTAGAAGAGAACACTGATCAAGACGGTTGCCCCGCCGCAGATGAACTCTTCTCTCTCTCTCAGAAGAAAATTTCGATCAAAACAGATTTCCCTGTCGCAGACAAGTTTTCCTCTCTACCTAAAGTTGAGAACAGAACGCTAATCAAGACAGGTTTCCCTGCCACGGACGAGTTCTCTCTACCTGAAGTTGAGAATAGAACGCGGATCAAGACAGGTTTCCCTGCCGCAGACGACCGCTTTCAATTAATCTTTGAAAGAAATCTGATCAAGACAGATTGCTCCGTCGCAGATATACTCTTCAAAGATCGGAGGAGAACTCTGATCAAGACAGGTTTCCCTGCCTCAGACAGACCACTCTTCATTCCATCTTTGAAGAGAAGGTTGATCAAGACAGGTTGCCCCGTCGCAAACCTACTCGTCAAATTTCATATAATGACCTAAATGAAGGAGAACGTCGTTTAGATAGGTTGCCCTGTTACTGACGAGCTCCCTTATTAATTTAAGCTGCGACATGAAATTACTACAGTGAAATTTACTATACTTCATATCATGTCAAATGTTTTCGATCTTTCTGTGATATGCGCTGAGGAGTGGTGTAATCCTCTTCAAGAATAACATCTCGACATCAAGCCCCGCTTTAGATTCGAGACCCATCACATTCCTTCCGATTTCAGTGCTGCGACCCTATCAATCCCCTGCACATAGAGTAGGACAACCCCACCTCACACGACCGAGGCTGATCAGCCCTTGGCCATAGAGATAAGGTGACTCTGCTCGAAATGAGCTTAGGTGATCATTCCTCCCCTCACGACAAACAATAGTCACCTACCACTATGTGCAGCGTTTTAACAAAGCCTCAACACCTTCCTCCCTTCCAGTGATAGTGTACTCTCCCTTCCTTAAACAACATAGGATTCGGATGGCAACATCCCACTATGGACCAGGAGTATAACTCCGGCGCAAGCCTCACTATCACCTACAGAGCTCACAGTTCATCAAAAAAACATTACGACATGATAGCAAACAAGACTTCCAAACTATAATGTACATAACTCAAATACATATTTTATAGATAAAAACCACGCATCAAAAATCACATTTATATGGCATGCACATCACCATCCCGGCCAAGAGTCATGTTGATCTTTAAGAAGAGATCACTTGCATTTGTCCACAATGGCGAAATACAACAACAAAATGTAACAAATTGATTCATCAATCAAAACGTGGATCAAGATTCTTATTGAATATACTTCTGTACACATCTCAAACAATATTACATAACTAATGTCGAATATAGTGACTTTCTATAACTTGAAGCACGATATTTATGAAATGGTCTCACCCAAATTTTGTTCATGAGAGGACGAAAATATAAAAAGTCATGATCCCATAAAATTACAAAGTTTGGTGAAAAAAAATTGAGCCATAAATTAAACGACTTATTTTTCGTCGACTTTCAATCCCTTACACCTACTCAAAGTATGTCCGACGCCACCACATCTTTTACACATAATGTTTTTCCAGTACTCTCTCCCCCTTTTTGCTCGCTGCTCTTGTCAATCTCGAGACACTAACTTGCAACACTACTCCTTCTGAACAGTTGGCGTTGAGAGGTCATTTAAACATATTTTCCTATTCTGTTTACTTATAACATATCGATCCACCATTGGTTGTTCACTTTATTGCTCTTCCTGCCGACGCTCAAGGCATAAGCCCTTCTGAATGTCTTCCATCATTCCTCTCACTTCTAAAAGCATTGAAATGAGGGTTGAATCCCTCTTTCTTTTATTATCTCGGCATTCCCCCTCAGACTGTAGCAAGCGAAGTTGCAGACGAAGGACCCGATCAAAGTTTCCGTTATTGAAATTTGAACGGATCCTCGCCCAATCCGACTTGTCGAGCTCCTGCTGCTCTGCCTTAGGAAAAATTGCGAGGAAAGTAAGACATTTCTGTTTATCCGTTAAACCCTATATCCGACGAGCGGTCCTTTCATAGTCAAGAAAAAAACTTTTATTCTACTATGTACGCATCCCGCTTGACATTTTTCAAATCCCCGAGCCAAAACTTCTTTAACATGGCATCTCGAAACTCTGACCATATTGATGCTCGGCTATTTTTCGGACTACATCCACAAGATCTTTTTCAACATATCTCATAACTCGTTGCAACATTTTACGATCATCTCATTTATTGACGGATACAAGTTGCTCAAATTTCTCCAAGAAAGTGGAAACAAAGTTGCCATCAAAAAGAGGGATTTTTATTTTTGGCAAACTTTCTCTCTCTGTATCTCTCTGCTCTAGGAGATGAACTATCCCTTGGAGATTTGATATATCTCTATCTTGATGGTCACCTTCGCGTCCACTTGCTGATTACATTTCTCCTGACCATAACAGAAAACTAGGTGGAACGTCAGACTAACTCTATGCAATCTAATTCGATTTCTTAATCCTACTCCACATTCGATCAAATATTATATCCCTCATACTCCTCTTAACCCCTTCAAAATAATTCAATAAAATACCCGAGTGTTGTTCCACCAGGGTCAACGGTAGGTATCCTGCCTTTTTCATAAAAGGCGAGAGCCCTCCCCACCATGTCACATAGGAGTTTGAAGCAAAAACAAAGCAAAGAGACAACTTGGGGATAACGTATAATAACCTGCGAATCGCCGAGGCGGTCGTGGTTGCGTCGCTCCTTCATCGCTCCAGCGGGGTGCGCCAGTTGTACATCCTGCGGTCCTCTACAACAGGATAGGTTCCCGCGGGCATAAGCTTTCTTTCCCTAAGGGGTTGTCACCACCCTTAGGGGCGTATCCCTATCGAGCTACTGCGAATATGCAATCGCAAAGGTAGATCAACCGAGGGCGTTTGCTCGTTCGTTGTAGTATAGATACGCTTGGTTACGCTAAGCGGACCCGAGCGACGTCCGTTCCTTAGGGCGCTGATCTCCTAAGTACGAAGTGGACGTCAATCGACTACGACGGTCTCAACCAAGCGGGAAACCCAATACTCAATTCTAGTCCCTCCGACACATAATCCAAAAAAAATTATATGAACCATACGTAATTACATCAAAAGGATTCAACCGTAGTCGATAGAACGCATATCCAATCTGCAATGATAACCAAAAAAATTCAAATCATCATCTCATACATCCAATAACACAAGATAAAAAAAAAAACAATCCGACCGCCTCAAGTCGAACACCTCAAAACAATCAAACAACCGCCAACAAGGAGTTGGTTATCGAAAATAACCTTATGCATCCGACAAGATAATCGACTGTCTTAGTTTTGACTTGATGAGACGCGTTGCCAAAGTTATTCATTCCACCTACTGGCGACCTAAGATTAGACACGCTCAAACCTATCTCCAAACATTCTCAATGTTCTTGGATGATAGGCTGTTTTGCAGATGATTCTTGATCAGGTACATTGCTTGAAGCGTTGCATGCCTCTCCTTCTAGGAAGAGTTCTGGGGTACTCCTCCTCCTCGCCCGAGCACAAGACTCGGATCACAGAAGTTGGGCCGTCTCCACCGAATCGTCATAGTACCCCCCCGTAGAACGGTTCACTCTGGGTCGTAACAGGGTCGGCTCCTGAAACAACGAACCCCCGCCCTAGATGCTCCCTAGAGAAAGAGAATGTGTCCACTGCAAGTAACTTTCAGTCATTCTCATTTCGCTTGAGTTCAGGGTAACTTGGACGAAAAGAAACAGAAGAGATAAAGAATGAGAATCATTTGGACAGGTATAGGTGGATAAGGTCATTCAAGATAGAAAGGGTTTATCCTCGGGAAAAGGATAAGTTATTTTGACCTTATCTGGTTTATTTCAATCGCATTCATTTACGACACGCACTGAATTAATCTGTTCCCAAACAACAAGTCGTTTTTACAGCAGGCAGGCGAAAGGTAGAAAGAGGACAATCCTTTTCGTCATCTCAAATAGGCATAATCCATCTCCTTTGCAACCATCTCTCTACCTACCTGCACAACATGCAAAAAAAACAAATTAAAAAAAACAACACAACCTCGTACTCACGTCAGACATTTCCATTCACATACATGCCTCGCACAACTTTCCTTTACCTTTTCAACGAACATTCAATGAACAGGGTGAAGCAAAGTGTGGGTTCACACAGGTGTGGAAGGAAATATGAGTCAATCAACTGACTGACCTTGAGTGAAGTTTGATCCGGCTCTCTCAAAAAAGTCGAGTAATACTCCAATCAAAAGAAAATTACCAGAAAAAATAATATGCAGCACACAACTCCACAAGTTGTTGTCTTTCTCATGAATCACGCTTCGCGTCCTTTCTCAATTGTTCAAAAGAACAGAGGTTAAACCACAACAAACTCAAGCGAGATAGCCCTCCAGGAGGGTGTTCCCATACTCGAGTTTTCACGTGGTTCCAGTATCCCAAATTGTCTCACCGCTATACCAACTGCACTTCACCCACCAAGATACTTCCCTAACCAACCGCAAGTCCACGCAGCCTTAAATCACCATGTCCGCTCGCAATACCCTGTCCGACATGCTTGTCCCAATCTCAAGATCAATCCCACTTGGTCCCAAAATGGTCCCAGGCGATCCCACGTTATCGCCAAAGCACGGCTTGGCCCCGACGTAGTCCCATACCATCGCCCGCAATACCAGATGCTTCAGAACTAAAAACTGCTCGCATTGCGTGCCGCAAAATAAATAAAAATAAAGGTGGCCCTGGTTGAAAACCGCATGTGCCGCGTGCCCAATCATCATTGCCGTGTGCACTCACTCTGCACTTTCTTCATGCCGCCTGCCCACTCACCACTACCGCACATACCCAATCATGCACCTGTGTCCATACTACCGCCGGATCATGAGAGAATAGTCCACCATCACCGCACACATAAAAAAATAAAAGCGGAATTGTCGCTCGCCGCGCCGCCGAAACCAATATCACGCCGTCGTGCAAACCCTAAACCCTAAACCCTAAGCCCTAAACCCTAAACCCTAAACCCTAAGCCCTAAACCCTAAACCCTAAACTGAAAAAAATCCGTTGTGTCGTGCCTCCGGACGGACAGCACCTCCCCTTAGGGAGACCTTGATGCCGCCACACCGTCAGTCCGGCAGCACCTTCCTAAACGCATGTAAAAAAAAAAAACTCAACGGCGCGAGGCAAATCCGACAACATCTTCCCTTAGGAAGGTTCTGATGCCGCGTCAAGTCCAGCAGCACAACCCCACTGAAACGAGTGTCGCTTGCCACACCGTCCGGGACCTGACACAGCCTTACTGCCACCGCACCAGCACGAGGTTGGGGCAGAGAGCCTCCAGCCCTTGGATATGGCTGCGTTCCCCGCACTCCTCTAAAGCTCTTGCAGACCTCGAACTTTCTCCTCTCCGGCAGCACCGCCCCACAACAGCAGCCAGCCAGCATTCACACAAGTGAATGGCCCAACAACATTGCCACAAGTGTGAGGCTGTTGGGTGGAGTGCTGGCTTTTATAGTTGCTGGAGGGTGGTGGCCAGCACTCTCCCCATAAGCAAAAATCGTAGGAGTGCTAGCTTTTATAGTTGCTGGAGGGTGGTGGCCAGCACTCTCCCCACAGGCAAAAATCGTAGCTCCAGTTGAGCCCTCGATCTGAGGCAAGATCAAGAGCTCAGTGTGGCCGCACCTCAGCCACACACTTAGGGAAGCAGTTACTTTCAGCTGCCTCCTTTTATTTTCCCATCTCCCCCGTACCCAACACTTTTCCCAGTGCAGGTACGTTGAAAATGTGGCTGTACTCAACCACTTTTCTACTTGACCTTCCAACTACAAGCCTGTCCTGAGTGGTTACACTCAGACCAGTAGGGTTGTATCTGGGGCATGACAGTGGCCACATTCACGGCTGCCGCCCCTCCCCCTTTCAATTTCACAGAGTCGAACTAGAGTCAAGCTCAAAGGGGTCTTCTTCCCCCTGCCCGCACGTGTATCTGGGTTGAATAGGCGCCTGATACAGGCGTGGCGCTCATGGGCCTCCTCTTTCTCTCTCTGTGTGTGTGTGTGTGTGTGTGTGTGTGTGTGTGTGTGTGTGTGTGTGTGTGTGTGTGGGTATCCCGACAGTCGCGGATGTTGCCAGCTATGAGTGAGTTGCCGGGACAGCCCTCAAGAGAGAGAGGTTACCAGACCCCAAACGTGTGCAGAGAGTCTCACGTAACTCAAGTACAAGGTTTCACAGCCACGCTCGGAACGTAGCCACGTTCAGCGGCAGATTCATTCGATTTTGCCCATCCACAACAGCAACAGCAGGCCGTTCGTCAAACACGAACGGGCACTCTACTAATTTTACTAATAAAAAGAAATCAACGAAATCTAAAGAAAAAAAAAAAATTGAAAGCAAATCTAAAAAAGAATCTATAAAAAAAAAAAGAAGAAAACAAAAAGAAGAAAACAAAACTAAAAAAGAATCTAAAAAAAAAAAAAGAAGAAAACAAAAAGAAGAAAACAAAAACTTACCTATGATGCTGCCCCGTGAAACGGGCAGCACGTTGTCTTTTCAGGGCCGGTGCCCTGCTAGTTCAGCTTGCGCCATGTGGCGCTTCATTGTAGTTTTTTTTTTTTTTCCTAGCTATTTTCCCGTTGGCTTATGCCAACGGTAGCATCCGTTCGTGGATCACCCACGAACTGTTGAAATACAGGCCCGAGTTCGAGTCCGGACGGGCTCAAAATATTTTGGACCATTTCTCGATTTATGCGTCTCATCCTTGCGCAGAGGCCATGTTCACTCGTGCGGCTGATCTCGGCCGCGCGATCTTCAAGATCGGGGGGTCGAAATCAACCGCGCTCGTTCAGAGAGGGCAGCTCCAAAAGGAGCCAGCTCAGTAGATTGCGTGCGGTCGGGCTTGATCCCGGTATCTGCTGGGCGAAAGTCTGGCATCGTAACCTACTGGGCTAGCTCCTATCACGATAGTGATAGGAGCAACTCTTCTATATGAAGAGCTTGCCCAGTCACTTTACCGCCCATGTCGTCGCCTTGCAGGCCCTCCCTGTCTGTGGGCCTGCGGCCTCACCTCCTTAAGGCTTTGCAGGCCTGCCCCATCGGTTGACCGGGAGTATCAACCGCGACAGTCTCTAGCCCTTAACAAAGCAGGCTGCTAGGTCTCTCGGCCACCGTCGTGGTTTTAACCCCTGTACGACAATCCCTAGTAGCCTCATAGGCTCTGAATTGTGCAGCTTAGCAGCAGCGCGTCTTTGTTTTAGTGGGATAAGCTCGGGTTCAATATCTCTTCTTAGCCTACTTAGGCCCTGAATCGCGCGGCTGCTAAGCTAGGTCTAACTTTGGCATTCCTATGTCCGCACGCTTCTGCGGCCTCAACAAAGGCAAAGCACTGCTAGTTACGTCGCATTTCTCGGACGCCACAAGCGTCCGAACGAAAGCTTGAAAACTTTTAGTCTCTCAGTCATAGGTCAGGTCTGAATGAACTTTTGGCAAACGTTAGACTCATCAAGTCCTTTAATTCAACGAAAGAGTCGGACAACATACGACGTTTAAAATCCTCGGCAAATACTCTTGTCAGGGTATTTGCCACGACACCGGTACACTCGACAGGCTTGTATCCGATGTGGCCAATACGACCATAATCAGTCCAAGTGCCGTAACAAGAAGGTGACCGAAAAGATCTCGCCTACAATGGGGCAGGCGTCGGGATCCTCCACTTCCATAGGTAGCAATGTTGCCAGTAGTTCTGGAACTGCTCCGGGAAACACGTCAGGCCAGTAGGAATGGTAGTTGTTCTTGCTAAGGTCGAGCTGGTGGACACACCCTCACCATCTCGAGAAATGGCCAAAGCTACTGACTCTGATACCGTCCCGCAAACACATTCGGACCCATCGATCCTCTGTTCGCTGAATGTGTTTGAGTCCTTAGAGGAGCTAGAGGAGTGGTCTAGATCAGACCCGCTACCTTTGTGGACGGCTATGGCCAAAGCCCCTAAGGGTGAGTTGTTCGCCGGCGAGATAGTCATCGACGGTCGCAAGGCCGGGGCCTACTCTGACACTTGCTCGACGCGGAACTTTATCAGTTGCGCGTGCGTTGAGAGGCTGCGTTTACAGTGGCAAGTGCAGCGCCCGAGTCGCGATGTGCCAACAAACAACGCATGGTAGTCAATGACCCTTAAAGACATTGAGTGTTATTTCTCGTACGCGGGAGGGGAACTGAGGCATCGCGTCTCGTTCCTCGTTAGCGATGATCTCCCAATGGACATCTTGTTAGGTATGTACTATCTTTCAGTTGCACAACCCCAGTTTGACTGGGACAGAAAAGTGGTCAAACACACTTTGCCCGGAGGGGGGACCGCCAGATTACATAAGTTTAAGGCTAGTAGTCTGATCGAGTCCTACAAATGCATGAAACCAATGGTCAAACTGAGCAAATGAATCGTCTGTGCCAACAACTTTTGCGAATGTATGTCCGACCTGATCAGATTGATTGGGATGAAAACTTACCCAAAATTGCTAGTGCTTATAACAACAGCGTGCATATTGTCACAGGTAGAACACAAAATGCACTGCATAAGGGTTGGAAGCCTCAGCGCCCCATCGACGCCCTGACCAGAGACCAGATTCAGAGGCTACCCCCGGGTACACGTGAGTTTGCAGTTTTATATGAGGAAGACATTAAGAAGGTAAAGGAAAACATACAAAAAGCCCAATTACAAATGATTGAACAGGCTAATAAGCACCGCCGACATTCACAGTTTCAAGAAGGAGATTTTGTTTGGGTGAAGTCTAAAGAGTTCTCCTTAGAAGAGAATGTATCTAAAAAACTGCTACCCGTCTACTTTGGACCCTGGGAAGTTCTCAAGGTGATTGGAGATGCAGACGGACCGTCCTATCGCATTGATATACCTCCACACCTAAGGACGTACCCTGTCTTTCATGCGTCTAAATTTCTACCTTATGTAGAAAGTGACAACTTTCCTAGTAGACCATCCATGTTTCCACCATCCATGAATGGGAATTACGAAGTTGAGAAGATATTGGAACATTGCTACTTCTCTACATCGCTACTTCTCTACATCGCTACTTCTCTACAGGTGGCAGAGGACGACCGCAGAAGCAGTTCAAGGTGAAGTTCAAGTCTCAACCTCCATCTGAAGCCAGATGGTTTAGTCGAAAAGAACTCTTACCTACTGCTCATGATATTGTTAATGCATATGAACGTGGGTTAACTTGGAATTAATGTATTTTCTGCGATGGAACTCGAAAACTGGGCCGACAGGAATGTAATAACTCATGCCATATGTCGTCTGAGGGCCGAACGCGGCAACCCTCAGTCCAGGCCACATAAGGGGGCAAAGGCCCTAAGTCTGCTACAGGGACTGGACGCCAAGCAGTTGACCGTAGTCAACTGCCGGATTTCCAAAGGTCAAAGTCAAAGTGTGCCCAGCCCAGGCCGCCAGTCAAGCACACACACTTGTTTGTATGCAGGTACCCGAAAAGCATCCAAGCCAAGTGGAAAACTGCAACTGTACACGATCCAGACCTTCGACGGCGAGTCAATCTGGACGACTATGACTCGTGGACTGGAGGCTAGACCTCCGAGTCAAACACTACATAAGCTGGGGTCTACAGGGAATCGACATTCAGTCTTGCTATGCTGATTCAACGCTGGCTTGACTTTGACTTGACGCTGGCATTATGCTAGCGCGATGCTGGCTGGACGCTGGCTGTGCATTAGAGCTGCAGATGACGACTCGAGGGAGAGGCGACGCTGGCATTATGCGCCAGGCATGCTGACGTAGCGCTGCCTATGGTCTACGTGGCATGCTGACGTGGCGCTGCCTCTGGTACATGTGGCGCTGCCTATGGTCTACGTGGCATGCTGACGTGGCGCTGCC